CTTTGGTGCTCTCTGAGCTTGGTTGTTTGCTTGCAGACATTTCATTACCCAACTAGGTAACATCATCAGCGCTGCTGAGTGTGAGGGTTTTCTCCCTGTTTATATACAGTAGCTTGCCCTGCTAGTGTTGGTGGGGGTGTGGTTTTCTCCTTGGTAGTTTCTTGATTAGGGTATTGTTTTCTGCTTGATCATTTGTCTTGTGTTAATCGCTGCTTATCTGGGTGTTGGCTGCTGTAGAAGATGGGTTCTGTTCTTTTTGTTTTCTTCTTAACTTTTTTATTGTCTCTTGTGTGTAAATGGGATTTATCTCTGTGTGTCTGTTGATGGCTGATTTGTCTGAATGCCAAGCTTCCAGGAATTCCCTAGCATTTTTGGATTTAGCTTGGTCTAGCATGCTCACAGTTTCCCAGTTGAGGCTATTGTTGAGTTTGTCCATGTGTTGTGAGATTAAGGAGTTTTCATTGTGTCTTCTGACTGGTAGTTGGTGTTCATGGATGCCCACTGCTAGTCTTCTGCCTCTCTGTCCTACATAGTGGCTCCCCACTACAGTGCCTCCAGAAAATTAAAGATCTAAAAATAGAAGAAGATGAAATTATGGTTTCATTCGATGTCACAGCACTCTTTACGTCCATAGATCCAGAACTAGTGAAAAAATCCATGGCAGCAGTACTACACAACACACCCGACCTAACCAAATACACTTTGATTTCATTCAGTGCCACAGCACTCTTTCCATCTATACATCCAGAACTAGCAAAATAATCCATGGCAGCAATACTACACAACACACCCGACCTAGCCAGATATACTGAGATTGAAATATCCAGAATTATGGACCTCATCAACCTCTGCCTCACTACTTACTTTCAGTTTGATGGACAAATAAACCAACAAATCAGAGGAACATCTGTGGCATCACCACTCTCAGAACTCATAGGAGAGGCTGTAGTGCAGCATCTAGAAATTATAGCACTCCCACACCTACAACCGAAAGTATGGATCTGGTACGTAGATGACACCTTCGTCATAATAAAAAAGACAACACTTTCATCATATTAAAAAAGATACAGAAATATTGTGTAGTACTGTAGATACTGTTGGAAGTGCACTTCCCTGTATTTTGGAGATGTAGCCGAACTTACGCATCTTAACTCCCAAGACTCTACAGCCCATCCCGTTTCTCGTCCTGTAGGGAAGCTTTTCTTGGAAGAAAAGTAGTGCAAAGACATTTTGAAATTCTTGTTAGGTATAGAATAGTTAATCCTATATTTAGAAATCTATAATTTTAGAATTGTTAGATATGTATACTATTCTATTTGTGTATGGCCAAATCCTCACTGTGTAAATATAGTATATTTAGAAGATGAACAATTAAATTATAATGGATTGATACAGTGAACTAATGACTGAGATTATTTTGAACTTAATTCTGCTTTCTAAATAATTTCTAAACAAAACCTTTACATTTGAACTGTTTGAAAGTTGATAACTAAGTAGAGCTTTGCCTTAAGTAGGTTGCAATGATTTATTTGAACATGACACATGATCTTGAATCACTGTCAACTCCACTCCAATTATGCTTTGCCAGTCCTTTGTTTTTATAGTATTGTATATAATATAATACAAGGCTATGCTTTTGTTCAGATAGTTCACTTCTGTGTATGTGTGTGTGTGTGTGTGTATGTGTATGTGTGTATAGGAAGGTGTTAAATCAGTACTAACCGTGTTTGGGATTATGAATTGGTCTAAGATTTTTGTAATTACACATTTTGTGTTAAGTGTTCTATCAAATGCAGATTTAATTTTATTCCAGGTTATTTTTAAATAAACATACTATATTTTTGCAATTTTAATAGAGGACTCAAATTTTTAAAAATCTGTTATCACAGAATATAGGAATCTATCAAAAGGTTTACAGCTATTATTAATAGAAGGCTTTGTATGTTTTAATGATTAGGCTGAGGTTTTCAGATTTGTTTCTTTAATAGCTCGCTTTCTAAATTAGAAGTGAAATCTTTCAACAGCAAGTCATTCCAAAGCTCATTTAAATTTTTTTGTATGAAAACTTAGCCTTGCAGGATATTCTAATTAATAACTTCAGATTTACACAATTAAAATTCAGTTGGAAGTATTCTTATATATAAACAGTTCAGACTTAAACATTTAAAATTTTTTAGGTAACAGCAACTCTTGCTGTATTAAAGGTTTTTGACAAAAAAAGCCAGCTATCCAGCAAACATGTTAATGGGATGGCTATGAAAGCTGTTCATTATAGTACAAAAATATAACAATAGTTACTTACTTTACTTTTGCAAGCAGAAAATCAGCAAAATCCAGAAGCAGAAGTCCTTACTCATCAAGGCACTCAAGATCACGTAGTAGGCACAGATTGTCAAGATCCAGAAGTCGGCAGTCGAGTATTTCTCCTAGTACTCTGACTCTAAAAAGTAGCCTGGGGGCAGAGCTGAACAAGAACAAAAAAGCCAGAGCAGCAGAGGCAGCCAAAGCCAATGCAAAAGTTTCAAACACCTCTACACCTACCAAGGGAACCACCGACACAGGAGTTGCTGTACAACAAGTGAACAATGTAAAGGAACTAAAAAAGATAAAAACAGAAAATACATCTTCCCCCTCAAGTAGTTCAACCTTGAAAAATGATAAGACAAAAACAAAAGTTTCTGTTCAGGAAACTAAAGTGGAAAACAATGTGATTGTAGAGAAGATGGCCAAGCAAAAAGTTTTAGCAGTGAAAGAAAATAAATCAACCCTTGTGAAGCCATCAACGCAACCTGTTGCAGTGAAAGAGAAGAGTAAGCCTCATGCAGTATCTAAGGAGAAGGAATGTAGTGTTGCACTAATCACTTCCACTCTGCCACCCCTGCCTCTTCCTCCCATGCTTCCTGAAGATAAAGATACAGATTGGTGAGTTGTGATTTTTTTTTTTGAAAGATGTAATTTCAAACTGCAAATGCTAGATGGATTTTATTGAGGTATAAATACTTCTTGCTATACTAACATTAACTTCTATAGTATTCAACAAATGTTTGCAGCCAAAACATTCATCAGTCCACCTTGATATTACTTGCTAATGTATATAAATTACATGGATTAGTACTGAGGTTTACTGCCTTTTTTGTATATTAAACCAAAAATCTGTAATTTAACTCTTATCCCTTCTGTTTATATTAGTCTGGTTTTGGAACAATATATTAGAATCTGATATTTGGTTTTGATTAGAAATTTGTCTTTTATGACAACATAAAAAATCTTTTTACTTCACTACAGTTTGCAAGGTAGCATTTCAGTAAAAGCAGTGAAAAAAGAAGTGGAGAAGAAATTACGCCATTTGCTTGCAGACTTGCCATTGCCACCTGAGTTACCTGGAGGAGATGATATATCCCAAAGCCCTGAAGAGAAAAAGATACTAGTGCAGTCACATCATAAAAAGAGACCGAAGTATGTATATTTCCTTTATATATAGAGAGAGTTCATAATAAATATGAAATTCAAACGTTTTAAAATCCCTGTTTCAATCATTGGGTATTGGAGGTATTGTTAATTGACACACTGTAGAATTCTTTTAAGATTGCCTTTAGTATTTTGTGTATGACCAAGTAGAGGAATTAGATTTTAAATAATCAGTGGAATTGTGTGTACTTGACTAAATAAGTCCTCTGTACTCTATTTGTCTTTGTCTTGCATCTAGAATTATAGTATCTGGGCAGAAATATCCCTCTCCATAGATATATCATCTGTAAAGTTTTGAGTGCCATGGTAAAATAATATTTTTTTGTTGTTATTCTCTACCTTATATGCTAAAGACAGGTTGTGAAATAGAGTAATTTAAGAACAGTACTTGGATTCAGAAAACTAGGTATATCTGAGTGTTTTTGGTTGGTATTACATACCATTCTACTTTTCTGTTTTGTTTTACTGGTAAAAAAGCACCATGAACATTCTTTATTTTGTTTGTGCTGTGGGGCAGGCAATCCTCACAATATACTACAACCTATTTTTGAAAAACCCATCCATTAAAAAAACAAAACAAAAAGTGATTTATGGAGATCAATAATATGAACCCAAAGCCACCAATTATGCATAGAGATGGTTGCATAAGATTTCTAGCATAGTACATGATAAAAGGAAGATATAAAAGTAATAATTCACTGAATGAGTGACTGAAATGTTAAAAAATAATTTAATATGTAGTAGCATATTTACAAAGAAGTACATTTTTAGGCAGAAGTATAAGCATATTCTTGTGGAACAAAATCTTATTTATTTGGTTAGGATATGTGGACCGCGTCATGGAGAAACAAAGCAGAAAGAAATTGACTGGGGGAAACGGTGTGTGGATAAGTTTGATATCATTGGCATTATTGGAGAAGGCACATATGGGCAAGTTTACAAAGCAAGAGATAAAGATACAGGTAAGTTTAAAATTATGATTGACAACAAAAATGCTGATGCTATCCCTGATTTTTGCTAGTATCTTTGTCAAAACACATACTTATTATTACTGAGCTATGCCACAGTTCTTCAATGAATAAATGTTTGGAAAACTAATAATAGTGATTTTACCATTTCTTCATGTGTTCCATTTTCTTTTGGGAAGAGTAAAGGTAGTCCCCGGTTTAAGAACACCTGGTTTAAGGATGACCCATTGTTTAGAATGGAGCCTATTGTAGCTAAATTTGAGTTATATACACACAATGATTTGAGTTAAATACACAATGGTTCAAGTTAATTACACAATACTACTTACACAGTATTATACAATAATACTATTCCGGCTTACATACTAATTCAGCTTAAGGACAGATGTTGGGAACATAACTCATTCTTAAACTGGGGACTACCTGTAATCCATATATACAGTAGGAGGTATTAAGCTGAGCATTTGTGCTATCAAAAATCTGAAAGAATCAGTTTGACAATTCATATACCCCATAAAAATGAATATATTCTGGAATTATGATTCCAAGTATAGGAAAGATGACTTGAAAGCTGGCTTAAGATGCCTTCAAGTCAGTGTTGACTCCTGGCATCTGTCTGGACTAGTCCCTGTAGTTTTCTTGGCAAGATTTTGGAAGTGGTTTGCCATTGTCCCCTTCCTAGGGCTGAGAGAGAGTGACTGGCCCAAGATGGTTTTATGTCTAAGGTGGGACTAGAACTCATCAGTCTCCTGGTTCCTGGCCTGTTGCCTTAACTGTCGCACCAAGCTGGCTCTGCAGGCTTTAGTCGATCCTAAATTGATAAAATACTCGATTTGCTGGATCAAATGAAAGCTCTTGATGAACTTTACATTTTGAATATACAAACATAAAGCTTGCAGAGACTTTTAATTCAAAATATTCTATTATGTAGCCACAAAGCAGTTTTTTCTAGTTGCTAGTTAAAAGCCTGAACACTGAGAGTTTTAGGATTCCATTTATGTAGCAAGTCATCTATGGTTCATCTTTTTCTTTTTTATGCTCTAGACAGTGATTTTGAGATTAATTTATAAACTAATGTGTATATAGTTGTAATACTGAAATTGTTTTCTGGATATGCCAATTACTGGTTGTATCTTTTCAGTTTTAAAAATTACTAGACAACCTGTGACCTGCTGGGTCATTATTTCAGAGATATTTCCTTACCTAAACAAGGAACAGAATGACCACGGCAAAAAAGCAGTGGGAGCGGGAGTGACTTCTGACTTTCTGCCGGCTTCCCCATTGACTTTCCTTGTGGGAAGTGGGCAGGGAACATTGCTGCCTGGATGGTCCATGGCTTTAGTTAATTCAACCAGACTGGCTATTTTGTAAAACTTTATTCCATTTTTCCTGCTATATTTTTCAATGTACTTTTTCAGAATAGGCAACTGAGCATAATCAGTCATTTTACTTTTAGGATGTCCTTACTATGTTTCATTTTTTTAATATTATGCTTTTTGCTACATTCCCTTTGTATACAGGTGGTACTCTTTTGGTCACTAAGTAATCCCCATTCCAAGAATAAGTTTATTGTTAGTATTCATAATTTTAAAATAAACTTAATGAAAACAAAGTTTTAGCTTTACTCACACAATAGACATGTTGGGGAGGCACTTGTTTTCTGGGAATGCATCTGTCAGAGATAGTTCAAATATGAGGATATATACTATCAATTCCCCCTTGCACCTTTCTACAAGCACAACATAAACTGAGTCTGATTCACACAATATGCTAAGGTGTTGAGTGAGCTGGATATGGTTCAGCATACTGCATATACTCAGCCACTGTAGTTTGTAGCGCAGCTTATGGTTTCTCATGTTGTGTTACCCCATCCATGTGATTTATTCAATAAATCATGGTTAAACAATCCATAGTTTAGTATGTTCTATGAACCAAGGATAAAACTATCATATATCAAATTTTAAGCCTGCAAAGGTTAATCTTATAAGGGATAAAATCAGTCTTCCTTACATTTTTGATAGCATAATGATTTGGGTCCTGTCCAATTTTTTGTAGTGGCTATTTTCTATCGCTGATTCTCTACTTGTTTCCAGGTGTGGTTCCTTACCCTGAATCTTCACAATACAGTTTAAGTAAACAAATGCAACACATCTCTAACTTACTGCATCACTGTTTCTTGCCATCTGAAACCCTCTACCTGGGTTAATATCTATTTTGTGTATGAGGGAAGAATGGTCAGGAGAAGCACTTTCCCATCTCATGCTTCTTGCAATATTCTTCTGCCATCCCAACTATTTTAAGATGCTACCCACATAAAGACATTTGCAGAAATGATGGTATACTGTAGTGTTTTTCAATCTTAGCAACTTTAGGATGTGTGGACTTCAATTCCTAAAATTCTCCAGCCAGCCATGCTTCTGGGAGTTGAAGTCCATGTTGGTATACTGAAAGAGGAGAGAAAAAAATAACAGGAAAACATGTAATTAACACTAATTACTTTATTACTGTTTTCCCTCATATCTAGAATTTATACTTGTTTAGATGGAGGAGTGGAAGTGACTTCTGGCTTCCCCATTGACTTTCCTTGTGGGAAGCTGGCAGGGGGCGTTGGAAATGGTGATCACATGACCATAGCTGACCGTGGCAGCGCGGCAGCACTTAAGCAGACACAACTTTACCAAATTTCAATCCCATGGGAATCAGGGGTCCCGGATTTTGGATGCATTTTGTAAGTTAGCCCATTTGAGGTACCTTGGTTCATAAATCATTGCCCTATGATGCACTGTTTCACCCAGTTGATGGTTACAAACAGACAGTAGAGTTTTAGTAGTACATAGATGTGCTAACTTAATAACAGGCAAGCTAATAACAGTTTGACTATTTTTTTTCCTAGGGGAAATGGTGGCATTAAAGAAAGTACGGTTGGATAATGAGAAAGAAGGTTTTCCTATTACAGCTATTAGGGAAATAAAGATTCTTCGACAACTAAATCACCAAAGTATAATCAACATGAAAGAAATAGTGACTGATAAGGAAGATGCTTTAGATTTCAAGAAAGATAAGGGTACGTTCATAAGCATTGTTTGGTCAGTAAATAATTTTAAGATAATTTGTTTCCAGAAAAAGATGGTTGATTTTAAAACATGCACGTATTGAATTGTAATGTTTCCATTCCTTGCATATAAAAGTAATATGTTAAAAGAAATGCTGGCCTGTGTTAACTCTGTTTTTACTCTAATATTTTATATCTGTTACCTTGTTACATTTCATTTTGTTGGCCCTATTTGTTGTACATTTTATTGAAATATTTTTATTTCACTTTTCTGACTGGTAAAGGTATTTTAAGAAAAGAAAAAGAATCACAGATACAATGAAGCTCAGTAAATACAATTTATAATAATAACTCATAGCTCAAGAAAATAACAGAAGAATTTCAGGCCAGAACATAATAGTAAAATTAGAAGTATGGAGAAAAATTGATTAACTCATAATTCATAAGGTATTTTTACTGCAGTAAAAATGTGTTTTAATATTTAAATATAGGAACAATTACTAACATATTCACATCAATACTGGACTTGGGGCAATCCTTTTTAATTGATTTTTTCTTTTTACATAAAGTTATGAATGGCAAGATCTTGCACTGTTATGCTATCATTCAATAACTGCAAGGGGAGGTTTAGGTACAAGTATAATGATAGAGCCTTTTGTTCTTTATCTTATGCACAGTTGCCGTAGAATGGTGGGGCAGTCAGACAAAATAGTTGTATACTTAGATTGACATTAAAATCTTTTTGGACTTCTTCATAACGTGCAGAGAGGCTGTGGAGTGACACCAATGTCATGACTCTATCCTTGTTTGGCATTCTTATGATTACTATAATTCTGCTTAACTGTGGCTACCCCTAGAAATATGGAAATGCAGTAACAATGAGATGGAAGCAAATTCTAGCTTGTGAGTGACTGTGCCATTTGTGCTGTTATCTCAGTGTTAGGATTTTTAATCTTAATTGTCTAGATTGGCAAATGGCTAGTTTAGATTGCAAGACTATAAATATACAGTGGGCAAAAAAGTATTTAGTCAGCCACCAGTTGTGCAAGTTCTCCCACTTAAAATGCAGATGAGAGAGGCCTGTAATTTTCATCATAGGTATA